ACTACACATGAGATGATCCAACCTGAAACCACTTTTGATGAGCTATGGAAGGTCGCAAAAAACAGAACTTGTCTNCCACCAACTGGTTTGAGCAAGAGTCCTCTAGCCCCTTGGCTCTGTTGGAACCTNTGGAAATCNCGTAATGATGTAGTCTTTNATAACAAGAGTAACTCAGAGTTGGAGGTTTTATCTAAATCAATACGGGAGGCCAGAGAATGGCAAGACAAACAAGAGCGTAAACCCAAACCCTCGATAGATTTGGTGGCTAGAAGTGAAGATGAGATTGTTGTGGAAGTAGTTTGCCAAACAGACGCGGCGTGGAAAGAAGATCACCATATTGCTGGTTTGGGGTGGATCTTTAAAAATCAGGACCATCACACACAAAAGCAATTCTCAGAGACTACGACTCATGTCTCCTCACCACTCATGGCNGAAGGTCTAGCCATCCGCACAGCCCTTCTAAAGGCTGTAGAAGAAGATATAAGGACTATCTCGGTAGAATCCGACTCCTTTCAAATGATACAAGCCATCTCGACAGGNTCAANCGTTTCNAAACTCCATGGTATCNTCTACGATATCATGACTCTATCCAAACTGTTTATGTATATTTCTTTCAAGTTTATCCCGCGAGCAGCAAATGTAGTTGCTGATTCCCTTGCGAAGAAAGCATTGTATAACTCTGTTTCTTAAGGTTTAATGAAGTGTTTCAGTGACAAAAAAAAAAAAAAGTGTAGCATTTTTGTAAATGTCCCAAAAAAGAAACCATAGAGAGAATTAAACCACTGAGTATTGAAATCAAAACGTTAACATAGAGAATATTTAGTAGCTAGATAAAACAAAAGAAACTAACATGGGAAAAAAATAAGTCAATTCACGATGTAACATTGCTCCACCAAAAACTACATTACACCATTCAAAGGAGATCAAATAAGTTCAATCTATATCTAAGTAAGCCAAAGAAGACTTTCAAAACCTTGGAAGGCGAACATTGGCTTGAAGGTTTGACCGGGCATGTTCATCGCCTACGTGATTGTTGTGGGCTCAATGGTTAGGAATAACTTTAAGAGGTTCTTACAAGAAAGTATGATAACTTTCTAACAATTTTTGTGACATTAAATAAACATCAATTCAAAATCTTTCCAAAGTCACCATTTTTTGCTTAGGGATCATGCTCTCATTGACCTTTTACCAATGTTACATGTCACAGACGAAGAAAAACAACATAAACTTTTAGCATTCTACCAAAGCATCATCAATAGACAAAGCTAGTGCGTTTTTAACCAACTCTACAACTGCAACAAGCATTCGATGTCCCTACATTAGTTCGGTCATTCTCTTGTGTTTCCTTAATAACTTCTCTACTATCTCCCTCACCTTCTTCACCATCATCAATGTGACTTATTGCTTCAGTTGTTGATTCAGACTCTTGTTGAGCCGAAGCTTCTCCTCCATTAGAATTCTCTATGGAAGAGACAAGCTCGGGTCTTTGATGGGACCGGTCTAGAGAAGCTTTAGGGATAAGAGAGAGACGGCAAAGAGGACAAGTGGTATGTGAAGTGAGCCAAAGATCAATACAGTCCATGTGAAAAGTGTGCCCACATGCTGGAATTTGTTGAAGCTTCTCATCTGCTTGGTAGTCCCCAAGACACACTGAACATCTGTTACCAAGTCAAATGTCAACAAATCAGGTGATTTCTAAATTCTAATTTTCTTATTGTTTTGGCTCTTTAAACAAAGAAACAAACAAAATTAAGAGAGTTTGGTCGGTCCATATTCTGAGGCCAATAATCATCTGAAAAAAAATAATGATTCTTCCAAATCACACTATCATATTCTTCTTGAGTTATACAAACCACAAACTCATACAACTATTCTATATCACTCAATATGCAAACCAAAATTGCACCACTGAGTTCTCAAGCGTTACATATGCTTAGACTTCAATACACGATCGTCATCTCACTATGGTCCAATCCGGAAAAAAATGACGACATTTTACGCAGCCTAGGGCGAATATATAACGTTTTCGATTCGAATTTTACCAAAAGACACATTATTTATTATCCATTTGCCAATCACAAGCTCAAAAAGGACCAGTAATCTTCATATAATGGATAGAACAAATCTACTACGAAAAGCAAATATGTCATCTTTGTTTTCTGTTCCCATTTCTCGCTTTGGTTTTTTCATTTCTCACTTTGGTTTATCAAATTTAATTCATATCACGTTCCGTAACCGTCTTGAACTTTTTCATCACTAAACTTTTTCATGAGATAAGCCTTTTAAAGTTATCCGAGTCAATGTCATGAATAAAAAAAACAAAATTCCTTGGAAAATGAATCAAACTAACCAAAAAAAATATAAAGAAAAAGAATATGAGAACTCACAGTGAATCATTGATTGAAAAAGTCTCTTTGAAGATAACAATGGGAAGCATCCCCCTCAATTCTTTGCTCACCCCTAACTCAACCTGTTCATACATAATCCGACAAGTCGTTACATAGCTAAACCCATCAAATATTTGTAAGAAAATGAAGAGGAAAACATGTTTAAAACCAACAATTAAAATCTTCCACATAAATCCCGCAAATATAAGAGGGGTTTATACGGTCTTGTCGTTGTGTCACCACCTGAATTTAAATCCGTTGTTGACAAATAAAAAAACCCATCAAAGTAGAAAGAAGAAGGAGAAGCCTATAATGGTTTATATATTGCATGTTGTTGACAAAAGTAAAAAGAAACCCCAAAATTTGAACTCATCAAAACAAAAGTAAAAATTGAGTTACTACCATTGAGAGATTGTTGTTGGTAGGAACGAAGCTACCACGCATTCCTAAAGAAGACCAATCAACACTACTGCTGCGTCTACGAAGGTAAATGACGTAGAAGACGAAGAGAACGATGAACGTGAAGCAAATGGGAATTGAGAAGATGAAAGCTTGGTAAAGTTTGAGTTTTTGCTCCGATTCAATCGAGTGGTTGGTTGATGGAATGTAAGTTTCTGGAACTGGGATTTGGTTTGGGTCACTGTAAGACATCTCAAGTGTCGAAGAAAAACACAATCTTTTTTTGGTTTTCTTGTTTGAGAAAGCCAAGAACCAGAGATGAGAGAAAGAATCTCAATGGTGATAAGATGT